GTCACGAGCGGGGCCGAAGTTAGCCGAGTCCCGCAACCTTGAAGCTATGCAAAGCGAGTCAACAGCGGTGACGTCACCAAGGGGTAACAGCATTGCTAGGCTATACGCCACGTCACAACTAGCAACAGCGAACAGAATAAAAGCCGGCTGAGCAGCAAGCGAGAGTCAGTGTGTTATCGGGTTCTCAGTTCGCAAGTTACGAGCTACACACGCGTCTGTGATAACCAGTTATATTTGGAGTGTGTAATTCAGGGAGACTTGTATAGCTCCCGCGTTATTAATACGTGAAGACTCTTGAAGATAGTGTTAAGAGATTTTGTTGTAGGGTTTGTAAAGTGTGGAAACCCGTAACATTGTGATAATTAATTATAGCTGATATTTGTAGATTGTTCAATAAACCAATTAACGATCTCTACGGCGTATTCAGTAATGAAACACGTTACAATATACATACTTACAGCTTTATTCTCCAGAAAAGGAAATGTCCAATCAACTCGTGTCACAATTATTTTGGGAACTCGAGTTGCTAAGGAATGCAACGTCCTTCCCAATCTCACAAGGCGTTCTCCTTCACTTGTCAATCTTCTTCTATTATTCTGTGCTGAACACATATAAAGGATTAGTCACTGGCACATCAAAAGACAGAAAGGAATCATATGATTCCTAGAAGAGAAAGTAAAGAGGGAAATATTGATATGATATTGTAATACTCAAAAAGTAAATATACAAGTCCAGAAAAATGCAGGGAATTTTTTTTCAGAAATTGCAGTGCTGCTGTGTGAATGAGGGACCGTGTGACAGGGCAGAATCCACTGGCCAGACTCACGGCAATGTTGTGACTTGAGATGCCTGTTTATGTAAGTGTGCTGAGCGAAACTTTACTTACATCACACGAAAAAGGACATTCCCCAGTGTGTACTAGGAGAAGCTTCATTAGGTGCCGTAATGGGCGAACATATTCTTACACACTTTGCATGAAAAGGTCGTTCTCCAGTGTGTACTAGGATATGAGTGTGTAGAGTGGAGAATCTTGTGAAAATTTTATTGCATACATTGCATGAAAAAGGCTGCTGACAACCTCTGAATCGTTGCAACGCACTGGACTGTGAACAGTTTCACAAAAAACATAGTTTCTCTGCTGCTTTCACTTGCATGCCTCAAGACATTATTCCTACGAGAGAAGGATTTCTTACATATCTCACATGAATCCAAATTCTCTTTGCTGCGTAACTTTGACAACTCTGCACTCTGTTCACCAAGCTCTTCGGCATTAAAATCCATACTGAAATGTGCTGCTTCATTACTAGTTGCCTTTAACTGAACACTCTGAAAGAAAAAGAAACGCTATAAGAACCTGTAGCGGAAAATATAGTGAAATATTATAAATAAGTTAGGTGAGAAGAAAGCATGATATAATTATGTAAATAATAGCAGAGTCTGACTGTTACAATGGAAATATTGCATGGACATGGGGCATACAGACGAATTAACCCAGACATTTGAATTAGGCAAAACAAAATTGGAAACATGTTGCGAGTAATGACCCACTTGATAAGAATGCTCGTTAAAATGGTCACTGAGTCAGAGTATGAGTATGTGGAATTAACTCTAAATGATATTCCTTTCTGTTCAGAGTCTTTTGGGAATCCCATGGTAGTTAGAAAACTTCCTTAATCAACAGGGCTCTGCAATTCATAGCGACAGGCGCACTACTTCCTGTGAGGAACACAGCAATTTTGCTGATGGATCAGCATGCCTGACGGACAATAATGTTTGGAATGAAGTAGTTACAATTAGCAGATCACAGGTGTTTAAAATGTACTCCTCTTCACAAGTGGATATTTTTAGCAACTAAATGTTTCATTAAAACGCACAAGTACTACATTCCTTCTTGCATTTACAGCACACCGGGCACCAACTTTGGATTGAAGGTTTCAGAAAATTTGTGCCATTCTTGTACTAGATTTTGACACTCCAGTCTCTTAAGAGGTTGGCTGCCCTGTTACTGTGACCTAAATATCCGGTGTACAAAATCCAGGTACGCTTCTTTCCTGGTATGAAGAGCTGTTTATAAACAATAAGATGGTGTTACGTGTGTATGTTTATATATATATGTACAAGTTCTGATTAATTATCTGCTTGAAAGTATATCTCAAAAGATTCAGTGAGATCGTGCAAATGATAGGATTTAATGCTTGTATTATCCTAGAACGAGTAATGGAGAGTGCATGAAATTTTACAAACATGTGTTTCCTCTGTTCCACAAAGAAATCGAAGTATTTTCCTTCTGAACAATCAGACTGAAGTATACGTGAAGGAAGAATACGCCATAACGTACATTTATTGATTTAACGAAAGTGCATATAAAAATAGTGGGTGTGTAGTGATATACATTGTGTTTTTGAGGGTATTCTTGAATTATTATTAATAATCTTGTGTGAAGTATGTAGTGATTTTGCACAAAATGTGTTTTAGTGGTTATATGGATAGAGAGTGAATTAAATTTTATGAATGCATATTTGGAATGACAGAAAACAGGGTGTAGTTTTGGTATGTAGTCTCTGAATATTACACGTGTGAGTAGGTTATTGGTCAGAATGATATACTTTTCTTTGCATTAGTATAAGTACTTGTAAGAAGAGGGTGAAAAGTAAAATTTCTAGTTCCCTTTGAAGTTGTTATTTTTCAAATTTATACCTTATATCTGTGTGACAGAGAGTGGTGGATATAATGTATGTATGTTGTTTTGGTCACAATAATGTCGAGCATAAAGAGAAGTTTAAATTCTATAGTGTGACATTATATTTTTGTCAGTGATTATACAGTGATGTGTAGTGAGGTTTTGTAGTGTTTTCAAGAATGTTAAGATTTCCATTCCCCCTCAATGGATTCAAAAGTTTCCCCTTTTATGTACATATCTTGTTTGCAGGAAGAATTCCTGGTTATAACAAGGTGGTATGCTAAGTGAAACACCTGTTGTCATTGGTGTTATGTTGGCAATCCTGTCCAATGATAGTGTAAAATGTGCACAGTTGTGTGTAGAGTATGTGATATAGCATGAAGAACGATGGCAAGTGATTTGTAAGGTAGATATGTATTTCGGTGTGATAGACAACGGATTGCATTCTTGCCATATAATCTTCCTGGCTTACATGTGCTAGCAGATAGTATACAGCATCAGGGAATAATTTCTTTTTCCATCTATTAAACTGCTTACAGAATCACATTGTTTACAGGAAAGCATGAGTTGTTACAGCTGACATCCTTCTAATTGTATTATATAGATTAGTCTAGAATATATATAGTGATGTGTACGTTTTTTTAATGCTTAAGAGGAATGCTGAATGATATTTTCTTACATTCAGATCGTAATCAGTGATTTCCCTGTCTAATACTTGAGTAGTAGTATTGTGCGGTGGATTTCTTTCATATAAAGTATATGTATATCCTTCACATATGTCAAAAAACATAATAAAGTTCATTATGGGAACATTCAAAAAGAGAATATTTCAGGACCTGCTGGAAATTGTAAGAGTCAATGAAGATGATTGTGATATCATGCACTTGAGAGCGTTCTTAAAAGTCAATATTTCGGAAAAAATTAATTTACACCCATTATAAATGTTGCAATATATTCCTGGTTTCATAGATTACGTAGAGAATTTAACAGAAAAATAAATGCAAGAGTTTATCATGTGAGAAAATTCGGAAATGAAATATTCCCAATAAATGTATAATGATCTCATACGCTATCAGAGACATTCAATCGTAAGATATCGCCGAATGCCAAAGAGTGCTAAACTGAGCACAACGATGCGCAGTAGTCATTTGCGCACACCTGTCATAATGTACATTTATAACCTAACATTAGCGTAAATTACCGAGCTTCGACCCCCTGCAAGGTACAGATGTATGCGCAAACCTAACCTAACCTATCCTAACCTTTCAGCTGCGAATGGTACCCCTGAGTTACAGGTGGATGCGCAGTAGTTCATTGCGCACACCTAAGGGTGACGTCATTTACGAAGCTGCTATTTAACGGATCGTAATATAAGACTTTCATACCATGGAATATAAATCGAAATATGACGTTATGTATAAAATTGAGCGTGCTGACTGCTTTTCCACCCGTAATATCAATCTATGCTCTTATATTCCGAGGTTATATTGCTACATGATAGCTTAGATTATGTCGAACACGCCGCTCCCACCTCACGAGTTTGCGCATCCCCCACGGTGATACAAATGATTACTGATTATTACATATTATGGCATTATGCTGATGTCCAATGGCATAAGGTTACGAAGAAATATCTTTATCGTCAGTGAAATTGTTCCTGTCTTTTTCGTGGATGGATACGTGACCAATTCACTGACTGATTGGCATTTGTTTCGCCCGATTTTCCTTTCCTGGATAGGAAGTAGAATAATATTATTACGAAAATGGGTAAAAAAATAGGGTAAAAAATTACCGCCCTGTAATTGAACTGATAATGGAATGCTTCTGTTCCATTCATGTTAAGATGTTGGCTGCCCTGTCACTATGACCTAAATATCCAGTGTACGAAATCAAGGAATGTTTCTTTCCTGGTATAAAGAGGTGTTTATAAATAATAAAATGGTGTTATGTGTGTATGTTTATGTACATGTGCTTCCAACTCAGAATTGGGGGAATACAAGCAGATAGTGTATGACTGGAATGAAACGTTTTACAAAGTGGACCTAGACAGCAATGGGGGACTAATACCACGCTGGACATTTGGGGAACACATTTTTGGGATGTGTCCCAAAGTGATATGAATGACTGTTGTTTCTAAGAGTTTTGAAACCTTTGGTTCTAACACTGAGGTTATTAAGTTTACATGCAAATGAGATGTAGAGAGATCCATCAAGTACAGCCTTAATGAAGTTACCTGGCACCATAATTTAGATGCAGACAAAAATAACATGAGGAGACCTAATAACATATATATATATATCCTTCTGATATACACACTTACAGCTTTTGTCTTCAGAACAGCAAATGTTGAGTCAACTCGTTCCAAAATTATTTTGGGGACTCGAGTTGCTAAGGAATGCAACGTACTTCTCAATCTTGCAAGGCGCTCTTCCTCACTTGTCATTCTTCTTCTGTTATTTTGTGCTGAACACACATAAAGGATTAGTCACTGGCATGTCAAAAGGTAAGCATGAAAACCTATCACTCCTAGCTGATAAATAAAGAGGGAAATTTTCATACGATATTGAAGTATGTGAATCTGATATTTAATTCCCTTGCAAAAGCAAAATACTGTGACGTGGATGGCACAACGCTCGCTAAACACCCCCTTCCGCGGTGAAGTAACAGCTTCGGAGCAATTGCCGCTGCTATGGTAACAGGCCAGTCAACACTCCGTCTCCCTCCCCCGCGGTGACGTAACAGGGGACACCGTGGTTACTACGCAGCAATAAACAACTCTAGGCAGCGTTCCACAGCAACGCCTGTAAACACGACGTTACGCAACAGTGGTAGCTATCACGTAACTGTTTTCTGAGTTGTCAGTGCGGAAGCTACATAACGAGGAATATTACCAGAGTAATCTTTTTCCAAAGCCTTGGAAGGAAGCAAAGGTTATAACGTTACAGGAACCCGGTAAGGACCCAAAATTTCCTCAAAATTTACGCCCGATTAGCCTCTTGTCTACAAAAGGCAAGCTATTCGAAACAGTTTGGAAATACATAGTCCAAAGGCAAACTGAAGAAAAAGGCCTGATTAATGCAAGCCAGTTTGGTTCCCATGCCCGTCATAGCACAACACTTCAATGTATGAGGCTTACGGACCATGTAGCCTTAAATTTCAACAATAACATGTCTACAGCTGCTGTATTCTTGGATATTGAAAAAGTCTTTGATAAAACACGGCACACTGGCTTGCTATATAAATTATCTACATTACAATTTCCGATAAGTTTAATCAAGCTTATTATCTCTTTCCTTTCTCAGAGAAAATTCAGAGTTTCAGTCGAAGGTGAAATGTCTACATGGAAATACAAGCAGGAGTGCCAGAAGGTTCTGTTCTCTCTAGGTCTCTTTGCTGACGACACCTGTACATAAGCGACAGACCGCGAAGAGGGTTATGTTTTCAGAAAGCTGCAGCGAGGTCTCAGTGTTATTGAGACGTGGTGTGATCGCTGGAACATAAAATTTAATGAAGATAAAACTCATTCAATCTACTTCTCTCATAGACTTAGGCCCCCTCAGACTCATCTTATACTCGTATTGAATGGGCAGAATATTCCCTTCATCAATCATGTAAAATACTTGGGCGTAATCTTCGATCTGAAGATTACGTTGAGACTTCACATAGAAATGATTGAAGCCAAGGCCTTCAGAACATTTATCAGAATCTACTCCCTATTCAAAAGTGAGCGTTTAAACGCAAACATTAAACTATCCCTCTATCAGGCACTGATAAGATCAGTGATGACTTACGCTTGTCCTGCCTGGGAATTAGCGGCAGATACCTACCTCCTAAAATTGCAGCGCATGCAAAACAAGGTTTTGCGCGCCACTGGAAATTTTCCAAGGTGCACACCATTCCGCGACTTGCACACTTGTATACGATTACATAACAAAATTGTGCAGACGACAAGCAGAAGTCATACAAAATCATGATAATGAACATGTTCGCGGTATAGGGCAAGGTGAAGCCAGACACAGAAAATATAAGAGGCTTAAACTTGGCGGTGGTCAAGCTTATGACCGTTCAAATGAAGTTTTCATTGTAGCATAAGATCTGTAAGTTAGGCATGATCTGCTCTGTAAAGCCTGTACCGACAGAGGACTTCTGTGTAAAGCAAAAGGAAGAGTTTTCGATAACATATTATATGTGCGAAATATACACTGACGAAAGGTCGAATGTATTCATAAGAGACAGACCCATCTTCTCGTCAGAGAGGATGTTACATAAGGGCTATTACCGCAAGAGTTCAGTTGAAAAAGAATCTCTGGTCGTGGGCCTCAAGGGGCCTGATACCAAGACGAACTGATTGGCGGCAAAGTGCCAGTTGTAAAGTGACTCTGACTCTGACTGAGTAACCAGTCAGTTGCAGTCTAGCATTCGCCGGAGTGAGGTGAAGTCCTGTTATTGAGTTGTATCGAGTGAATGGCAATGACTACAGGAGACGTATTTGTGATACTGCAGATGGCAGTAGTGGTGTAACTGTGCGAGCGAATGTGGAATAAATTCGCTATATCTAGTACGGTGTAAAGTTATTTGTCGTGTGACACACCCAACACGTGACAATACCATGCTTTGAAATTAATTATGGAATTCATGTGTGTAATGTTCATATAGATGTTGTCTACTTTTTCAAAACATCTGATTACATGGCATTACTGAGTGTGCCATGTATAAATTGTAAGTAAAACTGGTCTTGCTACCTTAAATCTGTGATGAAGCAGTTAAGCAGCCATTTTAGGACATAATTCGTCTTCAATATGCTGCAATTTTAAACTTGGAATAAGTCATGCCTACACTTAATTAAATAAGCAATACACCATGAAGACCTAAGTGGAGGAGCAGACATAGCTCCACCATTCTCGACCTCAGTACAAGATGCAGATGTGTGATCAGCTTCCCGCTCCTTTCGCTTTACCCCCAGGAAAAGAGCCGCATTTACCAATTAGAAAGGAGGATCAAGAGCCGGTCTCGATGCTGCGGACTACAGTAAAATCTGTTGCATCTGCCAGTAATCAAACTCCAGCAGTCCAGCCCGTAGCTATATTGACATATGCAGCTGCTTTAATTAAGAGTATTTTACACGTATAAAGTTACGAGGAGTGTTCTGTATATAATGCCTCCAATTTTTTTTAATGAAAACTACAACAGATACAGAAAGCACAATAAGACAGTTAAATAGAGCAAGATTTAAGCTACTTACAGTTATTTTTCCACGTAATCACCAACATTCGTTATTCACTTTTGCCAGCGATGAATAAGAGCCTGTATGCCGTGCTCGTAAAAGTCCGCGCCAGCAGAGGCAAACCACTTTCTCACAGCTGCAATTGTCTGGAAAACGTTGCCCGCGTAGTCCATCTTTCATAGGCCCAAAGAGATGGAAGTCTGAAGGTGCTAAATCGGGGCTATAAGGTGGATGTGGTAGGACAGTGTAGCCACACTTTCCAACGTGCGCGGTGGTCGCCCAACTGGTATGTGGTCTAGCGTTATCATGTTGCAAGCGAAAGGTTGTCTGCTTCTCTGGTCTGACTCAGGAAACACGGGCTTTCAGCTTAGTCAGCGTCGTCTTGTAGAGTTCAGAATTAACAGCCTCACCAGGCTCCAGGAAACCTAAGAAAATAGCACGCCGCCTATCCCAAAAGACCGTGCACATCACATTCCCTGCTGATGGCTGTGTCTTGAACTTCCTTTTTTCTTGGGGAACCCGAATGTCGCAACCCCATGGACTGTCTTTTGGATTCCAACTCGTAGTGGTGACACCACGTCTCATCTCTGGTGACGATACTCTCCAGAAACTTGTCACCTTCAGCCTCAAGCTGGTGCAACAGGTCCTGACAGACTTCCATTCGATGAGTTTTGTGGTCCTGTGTAAACATGAGCGGGACCCACCTGGAACAAATTTTGCAATAATTCAGCTTCCCCAACATAGTTTCCAATGCATTACAGCCGATATTAAGCCGTGCACACAGTTCTATGGTCGTTATCCACCGATCTGTAGGGATGAGCTATCGAGGCGCTGTTCATTGTGTAGAGTGGCAGCGGAGCAGGGGCGCCCAGGGTGTGCTTTGTCGCGCACTTCACTTTCGTCATTGTTGAAACGCACTACCCACTGCCTCACTGTGCTGATGTCCACACTGTATCATCTCCGTACACCTTTAGCAAGCGTCGATGGATGTCAATGGGTGCAATTTGTTCGGCAGTGAGGAATTCAATAACACATCTGTTTCATAGGCACATCTCTGTCAGACGCCATTTTGGTAGACTGCTCTGCTGTCGCTATATGTCGCATGACAACCAAACTAACAGTACATTGGCGGGAAGGTTCAACCTTTACTGCAATACCACTAACATCCAGCTCAGACGTTACAGATTACAACAAAAAAATATGAGGCATTATATATGGAGCGCCCTTCGTACATATATATTTGTGTCAGTTTATTTTCATTTTCATTTGCGTTCTCTTTACTCTGCATGGTATTGCCTTATTTCTGTAATTTAATACACGTTTCATTGAGCACGTTGATGTAGCGGTAACTTGCACTTGCAAGTGATTACTCTGAATCTTGGCCATGAAGAAGTTATCCTGGCTGAGGTTTTTCGGGGTTTTCAATAGTACACCAAGGTAAATGCATTGCAAATTAGCAAACGGTCTCACACAAACACGTTACATTAAAAGACTGACATAATTGTTTGGAATATTCAGTTACTGAGAGCAAATATTATCTTAAAGTGTGCTGTATTATAATAATGGCTTATCATATTATATAACTTCAAATTAGGTTTGGATACTCCACTATGCTGTTCCTCAACCGATATGGCATGTTCCACTAGTGGATGTACTGATCCAATGGGTGTGGTCTTGCATGAAGTCTTGAAAATGGTATTTAGTCAGATTAATTTATTTACAGAAACAGTTTTCTGCATTCATAAAAGCTTTCTTTTCATGACTGAACCATTATTTTTACTATATAATATGTATGTGTTGTGATTGACTAAGTATCACTAATCTAGGCTACAGATAAGAGGACTGTCTTTTTTACAACCTCTGTATTAACCGTCACAACACAACAAATATCAAGGTCAGTGCCCAGCTACGTCTCTGCTACATGTTTCAGCTATCAATAGCCATCATCAGGCAAATACATGGTTAACATATATACACCACTGAACTGCAGTACTATTAAACTGGATACAATACTATTAAACATATAAAACACTTGACATAAACAATACAATAAATCATATTATATAAAAAACAATTTATAGTATATAAAACAAGAATACAATTTTAATTGATGTTTTATAACATCGAATCAGTCATTGGTTTTGTAATTTCGTACGTTCCCATGGACAAATTGGAATATTCAATATTTTTTCTCTTTGTATATAAGATTTTTATATGAGGCTCGAGATGTAGATGTAGTAAATTAATGTTAATCTGAAAATGATATGAAAGTAATAGTATTAAATTTTGTTATAATCAACAACTGATTTTGATATTGAAGATACAGTATATATTACTTACTGTTTAGTCGGTGCCTCATTTTACAAATTGTTGTCCGTATTGTAGGGAATGTAAACAACGACTGATTTGGTGACGTAAGATTAAAGTCAATGCACGGGAGGGAGGGGGTAGAGATAAGGTGTATGCAGAAGTGGAGGTGGGGAGGAAGAGGGTATAACAGTATATTATGTTTTGTATTTATCAAGTATTACATCATATAGAGGGTTAAACATTTCAGTAAAATTATCATTCAGTTGCAAATTTTGTTTCCTGATTTCGTAAATGTGAAATCTTTCATATGTATCCAAGGTTCGGCCTTTCTTGCCAATACATAGAACTTCTAATGTTTTGTCTATCATACTATATTCATGTGTGGTGTCCAATAAATATGTTGAGCAGATTTGGAGCTTTGTCCGTTATTTTTTTGGCTCGTATGTGTTCTCTGAATCTGACCCGACCTTAAAGGTACGTCCGGTCTGTCCTATATATTGTGACGTGTTGCGCTATGCAGGACACCCTTCCCCCGCCAGCGGTGACGTAACATCATCAGAGCATTGTCGTTACTAGGGTAGCAGGCAAGTCAACACTCTTTCCCCTACCCCGCCAGTGGTTATGTGGCCAAGGGATGCCGCGGTTGCTATGCAACGGTAAACAACTCCCGACAGCGTTGCCAGTAATACGTGTAAACACGGCACCAGACAACAGTGGTGCATATTACGTGGCTGTTTTCTGTGTTGTCCGGAACGAGGCTAAATAAGGAGCAGAGAAGACTATTCACAGTTAGTTCTTGAGTTACGAGTTGGCCAGGGAAGAGTATGTGCTGTCTAGTTTTTGATACTGAACATAGAAGTAGTTGTCAGATTGTAAGCTGAGTGATGGTATTAGCGAGTGTGGAATAAAATTCACTATACTCAATACGGTGTGAAGTTATTTGTCGCGTTATACACCCAACACGTGACAATATTTTAATGGACAGTCAGAATATTGTAGTTGGTAAACCCCATAAAGATTATACATATCATTTTTGCCATCACTTATTTTCAACAGATGTTTTGTATTGTTTTTTGTCTAACATGAGATACCAACCTCAGTATTCTTAAAAAGATCTGATTTCATGGCCGAAATAGGTAAAGGTGGTCATTTATTTTTCAGCGTAGTCGTTTTCGTGGAGGGCTTTTGTGTTAGTTGTATGGTATTTAGAGGGTAGTTATTATTATTTAGAATGGTTCTAGCAATGTCTACTTCTATGTTTTGGGTTGATTAAAATGTGTTTAAACGAAACGTATAGTAAAGTCCGTGTAGGTAAACATTTGTCTGATAAATTTCCTATCCAGAATGGTCTAAAAGAAGGAGATGCTTTATCGCTACTCATTTTCAACTTTGCCTTAGAATATGCAATTAGGAAGGTCCAGGGAAGCCTGGTGGGACTGAAACTAAACGGGACACATCAGCTGCTGGTCTACGCCGATGACGTGATCTACTGGGTGATAATGTAGATACTATAACGAAATACACACAAACTTTAATTGACACAAGTAAAGAGGTTGGTCTAGAAGTAAACACTGAGAAAAATAAGTATATGTTACTGTCTCGTCACCAAAATGCAGGGCAAAATCATGACATAAAGGTAGGAAACAGATGTTTTGAAAATGTGGCACAGTTCAGATATTTGGGAACAATGATAACATCGAAACCTGATTCAGGAGGAAATTAAGAGGAGACTGAACTCGGGTAATGCTTGCTACCATTCAGTCCAGAACCTTTTGTCTTCTTGTCTCGTCCAAAAACATAAAAATTAGAATATACAAAACTATAATTTTGCCTTTGGTTCTGTATGGGTGTGAAACTTGGTCTCTGGCATTAAGGGAGGAACACAGACTGAGGGTGTTTGAGAACAGGGTGTTGAGGAGAATATTTGGACCAAAGAGAGATGAAGTGACAGGAGGTTGGAGAAAACTGCATAATGAGGAACTTCATAACTTGTACTCTTCTCCAACTATAATTAGAATGATCGAGTCAAGGAGAATGAGGTGGGCAGGTCATGTAGCACGAATGGGGTGAGTCTTGCTGGGGACGTATGGTGTACCAGGGATGCGTTGGGACATCTCCAGGTACCACCGGGCAAGGACAGTCTTGGGGGGGTGGCGGCTGAGTTCCCATAAAGGGCAATGGCATTATGACCAGAGCCTCCCATGCGGCAGCATAATGACTCTTGGGTGTCACAACGGTGTAGCCAAGATGAATGCGAGAGGGTACTCCTATGGGGTAGCTTCGACTATTTGAGTTGTCTCCCTAGAGTACCAATAAGGTGCCACAAGCCTTAAGGCTCAACGCTCTAAAATGGTTTGACCAACCCATGTGGAGGGGTGGGAATGGGGGAGCTTATGGGCCACCCCCAGGTGCTACTCTCTCATGTAGGTTGTCCTGGTCGCAACCTCATGACCAAATGGTGTCGCACTCCCATTAATCATCTGGAATACCCCTCTCGCCCCAAACAGGCACTCTGGGTCCTGGAGGCTTGTGAGGTTTTCATTCAAACACGACCAGACCGCTTAAGCCAAGGTGTGACGCATCGTGCTGAGGGCTGCATGGTACTGCAGTGGTAAATAGCCAGTGTCTTCAACGATCCCCTTGGGGCACCAGGCTGCACCACATTGTATTTATGCATTCCACCCATATAGGGCACTGCTTTTAGGTTCCTAAAACTCGTGGGACCAAAATGAAAGGAACCAAAAACAAAATCCGTCGTAAGGACCTTAAACTAAAGAGGGACTCCCCTCCAAAGGGATCCCTACGAGAAATGCTTCAGCAGGGGGCTGGAAGCTCTGGTGAGCCACTAAGGGACCCAGGTGCAGCCAGAAAACCTGATGTTGAATTTTCAGCCAAAGGCAGGGACAAGCCAGTGGTTCAGAACCTGAGGCAAAACCAAAAACTCTATTGGGAGTCATTAGTATTGACATACCACTACAGGGGGCTAGTACCTTTAGCATACCTGCAGTAGGAGAAGGATTGGGATACCTA